CTAGAAGAAGAAGAAGAAGAAGAAGAAGAAGAAGAAGAAGAAGGAAGAAGAAGAAGAAGAAGAAGAGGAAGTGCTAAAAGAATTGAAAAAGGTGAATAAGTAGAAGGGAATTAATATGTAAAAAAAAAATAACCCCGGCCAAAATGAAGAAGTAGATGAAAAGCGAAAAATAGAAGGAAGGCGAAAAGAAGAGGCAAAGCGAAAAGAAGAAGCAAAGCGAAAAGAAGAAGCAAAGCGAAAAGAAGAAGCAAAGCGAAAGGAAGAAGCAAAGCGAAAGGAAGAAGCAAAGCGAAAGGAAGAAGCAAAGCGAAAGGTAGAAGCAAAGCGAAAGGTAGAAGCAAAGCGAAAGGAAGAGGCAAAGCGAAAAGAAGAAGCAAAGCGAAAGGAAGAGGCAAAGCGAAAGGAAGAAGCAAAGCGAAAAGAAGAAGCAAAGCGAAAGGAAGAAGCAAAGGAAAGGTAGAAGCAAAGGAAAGGAAGAGGCAAAGGAAAAGAAGAAGCAAAGGAAAGGAAGAGGCAAAGGAAAGGAAGAAGCAAAGGAGGAAAGGAAAGGAAGAAGCAAAGCGAAAAGAAGAAGCAAAGCGAAAAGAAGAAGCAAAGGAAAGGTAGAAGCAAAGGAAAGGAAGAGGCAAAGGAAAAGAAGAAGCAAAGGAAAAGAAGAAGCAAAGCGAAAGGAAGAGGCAAAGCGAAAGGAAGAAGCAAAGCGAAAAGAAGAAGCAAAGCGAAAAGAAGAAGCAAAGCGAAAGGAAGAAGCAAAGCGAAAGGTAGAAGCAAAGCGAAAGGAAGAGGCAAAGCGAAAAGAAGAAGCAAAGCGAAAAGAAGAAGCAAAGCGAAAGGAAGAGGCAAAGCGAAAGGAAGAAGCAAAGCGAAAGGAAGAAGCAAAGCGAAAGGTAGAAGCAAAGCGAAAAGAAGAAGCAAAGCGAAAGGTAGAAGCAAAGCGAAAGGAAGAGGCAAAGCGAAAAGAAGAAGCAAAGCGAAAAGAAGAAGCAAAGCAAAAAAAAAAAGATATTGCATGAAGATTAAACAAAGCCAAAGGAAAAGAAAGTAATGAAAGGAAAAAGGAAAAGCACGGCGAGAAAAAAAAAGCCGAAAGAAACAAAGCGAAAGAGAGAATAAAATAAAAGAAACAAAGGCAAAAGAAGGAAAAGGAAAAGAAAGAAGAATCGAGCAAATTGAAAAGAAAGAAAGTGAAAGGAAGAAAATGAAGAAGAATAAAGTAAATGGTTGAAGGAAAAAAGCCAAGTGCATATAGAAAATAAATGGAAGAGTAAAAAAAAGAACAACGTCAAAAGAAGAGGGAAAACGAAAAGAAGAAATAGAAAAGTAAACAAGATCAAAAAAGGCAAACTGAAAAGTAAAGAAAAAAGGTTAAAGAAAGAAATGATAATGGCAATATTAGACGTTTTCCTATAAGGAAACATTCGGTATTGACCGAGCAGCCAATTTGGTTGGAATTTATAAAGTCATTCTTTTAAAACGTTTTTAGGAAAATAAGTTTCTCAAATCCAGTAGATGTTATCGATCTTTCCAGTAGTGATAGGACACTTTTATTTGAATTTGTGTGGAACGTCAAGATCTTCATCATCTTATTTACTCTTCGAGTTACATGGAACATCTATTTTAGCTGGTTCTGTTGTCAAAAAACCTCAAGTGATGTAGTCTCTGATATCTGGTACAGTTCTTTGTTCGAGATTCTATATAAACCAGCCCACAAGGTTCGAAGGAGGATGGTCTTTGCCAAGACCCACATAAATGTCCTCGCTCAAAGCCGTTTTTAAGCCTCGATCTGAGAAAGTGGTTCTATACAGCTGACAATTTTGAGATTTCTGAACGGGTTTGGGCCATGCATGACAAAGTCTCAATCTGACGAGACTATTTCGGAATATGACTCGAGAGATGTTTTGGTTATATAACAATTTGCGGTGTTGGGCGAAATTATCTCTAGCGCAACCTATTCTATGTTCAGTTTCCTTATCCCCGATGTTAAATTTGCTATAATTGAAGGTACTTGAAGTGTTTAGTATTTACTAATTCGGCATCCTGAATTTTGCTCTGTACCCTTATACAGAGTATTGACACTAATGCTTTCATTCCATTTGCTAATCATGGTTTCTTTTTTTTATTTTTTTGGAAAGTTAGAAGAAAGCAGACAAAAAAGAAACAAAATCAAAAGAATCAAACTATAAAGATTAAAAAAGTAACAATTTGAAAAAATGAGAAAAAGTAACAATTTGAAAAAATGAGAAAAAGTAACAATTTGAAAAAGTAACAATTTGAAAAAGTAACAATTTGAAAAAGTAACAATTTGAAAAAGTAACAATTTGAAAAAGTGACAATTTGGAAAAGCGACAAATTGGAAAAGTAACAATTTGAAAAAAGTAACAGTTTGAAAAAAATGACAATGTGAGTAAAATAAAAATTTGAAAAAGCAATATTTTGAAAAAAATAACAATTTGAAAAAGTGACAATTTGAAAAAGTAAAAATTTGAAAAGGTAACAATTTGAAAAAGTGACAATTTGAAAAAGCGACAATTTGGAAAAGCAACAATTTGAAAAAGTAACAATTTGAAAAAGTAACAATTTGAAAAAATTACAATGTGATAAAAAATAAAAATTTGTAAATGCAATAATTTGAAAAAAGTAACAATTTGAAAAAATGACAATTTGAAAAAAAAGCGACAATTTGAAAAAAGTAACAATTTGAAAAAGGAACAATTTGAAAAAGTAACAATTTGAAAAAATGACAATGTAAAAAAAGGAACAATTCGAAAAAAGGAACAACCTCTAAGAAAAGACAAGATGATGATGATGGTCAGATTCAGAAAAAGCAACGCCATTAACGTACGAGAGAGTGAATCTAGAAAGAAATGATCAAAGAGTGGATCAGACAGTCAGGAAAATCCCAACGCGAAATTATTATACATTGATTTTTCATGGGCTAGTTTACCTTGTATTTGTTTCGTCGTCGCAACCTTTCGGTGCGACCGGACGTAAGTGCCATTCTTGGTGCGGCAGTTTCGACATCATAAGAAAGAAATGATGGTAACGAGGTTTGAAATTGCCGAGGAAGGACACCGGCGGTGTTAGCTAAATAGAGAGGGAGCAATGTGGTTCAGTGAATAACTTTAAAAGATTCTATTTGACATTGCTCTAAGTTTATCGAATAGGACTGACATCCGAGGAAATACTGATGTTTATAGCATCCGAAGTAGGATAAAAACAACAAAGATGTGGACACTGGATGGAATGAATCAGTGCCATACAAAAACAGCGGAGTATAGCGGCTGAAATATTAGGATAAAAAAGCAAAAATGAGGAGAGTGTTTTTAATGATTCATTCTATAATAGTAATTTGTATTTTCAGAAATTATTAGGTTGGTGCAAAAATAATGACGTAATAATGTCGTTTTTGACATATTTTTAGCGTCAAAAAACGACATTATTACGTCATTATTTTTGCACCAACCTAATAAAACCAAACTTCAAGTTTGTATTGTAGCTAAAATATTTAGATAAAAACAGTCAGTTATGTGCCATGGGTGATACACGCTTAGGCGATCATGTATCTTTCGATACATGACTAACGAGACAGATTTTTTTCCTCGCAGTAGGTTACAATTTCTTTCTGTGGTGGAACAGTTGCCATCCAAGGCTATAGAAACCGGTCTTGTCCTGCTGTTTAGCTGTGGTGGGGAGTGATTCATATCTTTCCCAAGGGTAAAAAAAAGCGACAATTTGGAAATAGTATCACGTAAGGGAATGTAATGGATTCGACTGGAATTCGAACTCGGCTCACCGATTCCTCAAACCGAGCCGCTATCCATTACTCTACTCCAACAATAACAACAACAAATGTATTATGACATTAGCAATCTATAATAGTGACAGATCGTCATCTGACAAATTCAGACGAAAAAGATAGCGATGTGTAGTGACCGAAATATTAGAATAAAAAACAATAAAGATGGGGACAATTGTCAGAATGAATCATTGTATAATAGTAACAGCTTGTCATCTGAGAAATCCTGTCGAAAAAAGATAGCGAGGTCTAGCGGCTGAAATATTAGGATAAAACTGCAAAGATGAAGACAGTGCTATGAATGCATCAATGTATAATCGTAACATTTCGCATACTCAAGTAGTCAGACAAAAATACAACAGGGGTATCGTAGTCGAAATATTAGGATAAAAACAAAAAAGATGAGGACAAATGGCAGAATGAATCAATATATAATAGTAACAGTTTTGTATTTTCAAAATTGAAGACAAAAATGCAAGAAGGTATGTATATCGCCATCTTTTTTGTATGAATTTCTCAGATGATAATCTGTGACTATTTTATACTTGTAAAATGTACTCATCTGTGTTGTTTTCATCCTAATACCTCGTTATCTTTTTTTATCTGATTTTCTCAAATGACAATCTGTTACTAAAGGGTATTCCAATAACTTGGACTGATTTTTAAATGAGAATTAAGTTTAAGCATCTAATGGTATTTTTTTTTTCTTTCAGCTTTAACAACTTAAGTCTTTGGCAATTTCAACCATGGAAAGATTAACAATCAAACAACGTGTTAAAGTTATCGAAGCCTATTACGAAAATGGACGTTCAAACAGAAATGCATTTCCCGCACTTCGCGATATTTTTGGTCAACATAATCGACCAGCCGAGAGTGCAATTGGAAACGATGTAACGTTGTTGGGGGAGGTTCAATTCCTGCACGCGGGACGATTAGAGGGGTCTGGATTTTCGGCAACATTCTCGTGCACTGCAGCAATATTTTCAGCCCGAAACGAGCCCGCCTGGTATTTTCACATCGGCCACCGACCCAGGTTCTTTGAATTTACGAACAATTTTTCCAGGTGCACTCTTGAAGTTTTAACACGTTGTTTGATTGTTAATCTTTCCAGGGTTGAAATTGCCAAAGACTTAACTTGTTAAATATGAAAGAAAAATTAAAAAAAAGTCTCAGGGAGACCGGCCCTGTGTCTATTGAAGGTCTATTGGGGCTTAAACACAAACAAAAAACAAACTTTTGTGTGGATACACATGTTGTAGTAGAAACACAGTGTCTACAGATGAATTGAATCTACCGAGAAAATACGGGGTGTATACACAAGCATGTGCATACACTAAAATATAACCTTTAAGTTATAATATATATATATATATATATATATATATATATATATATATATATATGCACATTTCATTGAATACGACAGGCAAGGTGCTTTGATTTAGTTTTTTATAAAATTTCTCATGTGATCTAATATATTTTTTTGATGATAAATTATATAAAAACTGTCCGAATGTTCTTTTTATCCGAGCGCTTTCGGCTATACATTTAGCCATTTTCAAGGTTGAAATATTTTAACTGTTAAATAAGAAATAGTTTATTGCATGTATGTATTTATATAATGTTTTCATTTATCTAAACACAGTCAACATATTGTGTTCATGTTCATAGCTGATAGTATTAAATGTCTTTTTTTTCTTTTTTTATTAATAAGGCTTCCATTATTTTTAGCTTTTTTGGCATATAGATGATGCTATTATATTTTTATTGTCAACAAGTATGTTACGAATAGAGTCCGGTAGGTCTCCATGAATATTTAAATGGGATCTAATTGAGCTATGGTCAGAAAGGTGTACAGTGAGTCTGCGTGTCAAACATGTTGTAGTGTGGCCTATATAATTATTTACGAATTTTGATTGATCAGGAACACAATTATTTAATGGGCATTTAAATTCGTAAATAATATTTGTCCTATTTAATTTTGTTTTATTTTTAACTATAAGATTAGAGGTTTAAAAATGTTTGTAATAAATAATTAATCTAATTTTTTTTTGCTATTGTCAACTGGTGTTGTGCATTTTTTTTTAATATTCTTAATTCTAGTTTCGTCTTGTTTGTAATTTTCGTTCATTTGATTTTTATAAAAAAAACTAAATCAAAGCACCTTGTCTGTCGTATTCAATGAAATCTTCATGAAAGAAGGACTGCTGCGTAAATCCACAAATATATATATATATATATATATATATATATATATATATATAGTAACAAAATAGATCCAACACTACATCGGATACCAAGATTTATGAATAAAATTCCTGCCATGTAGGAAGTTCCATTGGTGAAACATCCAGAAATATAAAAGCTCGCATAATAAAGACCTGCGTCTGGACAACCCTTTAAACTCGCTCGTAATACGTAGAAACAAAACAGATTTTAACTTCGATTTTATAAAAGCCACCCTAATTAGAAACGAACGTAATTCATTAAGCAGGCAATACTTAGAGGGAGTTCTGATGAATAATTTGCCATCTACAAACACACTTTATTATGTCACTAACTTTTATCAAGTCCATAGTTAAAGTATCTAAGATATGTCTACCTCCAGCTACAGTTAAACCGGTGTAACTTAAATTCTTTCACACGCATACAAAACGTCCCCGGATCAAAATGTGGGCAATCATCAAACATGGATAAAACTGTCGACTAGACGCACTCACGCTCATAAACGAATATCCATTATTGTTGTGGTAGGATCCACCTAATTTGCATAGTGGAGTACCGAGCATATAAATATGGGTGGTACCGGGAAGACGAGGGGAGGAATCAAGGGATTCAATCCAGAGACTCTGCCAGACTGCGACTAAGTCAACCCATTCTCCAGGAACGGTCTTCCCAAGAATATACAAAAGACTATATGTAAATATTGTGTACACTTTCTTGTTTCAATACATTTTGTGTTGTATTATTATTCCATGCATTAGTCAAGTTTCAACAATTATCATCCGAATCCTGCATTGACAAACTGGAATTTTGATACACATTTACACTTAAATTATGCGAAGGACGCTGCGTGACAGGACAGATGTATGTGAGGTCTGTTTAAACAATGAAAAACAAATAACACCAAACGAAAATGTTTGAATGTTTTTTCCTTCATATTTAATTTTCAGATGATTTAATAAAAATGAAAAATGTTAAATTTATACATATATTCTGTTTGTTCCTTATCCTATCGTTTGGTAGGATTCCAATCCATATTTGAGTATATTTGATCCCAGTACGTATGTATGTATGTATGTAGGTATGTATGCTTCTTAGTAGGATATACAATACGAATAAAAATGAGAAATGAGACGAAAATGGTTAAAATGAAAAACAAAATAAAGTGTTTTGACTTTAATCCTGACCTGAAGACACAAACACACGAGGGCGAAACGCGTCGTTGTTGCAAAGCTTCACCACTTTGTTTCAATATGGCTGGTCGTATAAAAGCGTATGTATATATATTATCGATATGAAATATATGTACATATTTATTAATTATATGCATATAAATACGTACGCATATGTATACCAGTGTATATATATATATATATATATATATATATATATATATATATATATATATATAAAAAAAACCCTGCCATGTAGGAAGTTCCATTGGTGAAACATCCAGAAATATAAAAGCTCGCATAATAAAGACCTGCGTCTGGACAACCCTTTAAACTCGCTCGTAATACGTAGAAACAAAACAGATTTTAACTTCGATTTTATAAAAGCCACGCTAATTAGAAATTGTCCCTATCCTCATGTCCACGGGTGGACATGAGGATAGGGACAAATACGTGTGTAGATATATGTAAGTGCAAATTAACGCATATGTGGGTATGTAGATATGCTGCATATTGCGTATGCATATGCATGTGTGTATGTATATGTATGTGTGTATGTATGTATGCATATATGTGTGTGTGTATGTATGTGTATGTGTGTATACATATAGGTGTGTAAATATATATATGTGCGTATGAATATATATATGGATATACAGATGTCCTTGTATGTATATGTATATATGTAAGTATAAGTATATATGGAGATAGGTATGGAGACATGTGGATGTGCGTCTTCTCTGCAGGTGTATATGTGTAAAGATAGAAATATACATATGGTCGTTTCGTGTGAATATGTGTGTGTAGGTGTATATAGGAACTCATAAGCATATAAGAAGATATAGGTATGTGGTTACAAATAGGGGTTTAAGACATGTGTAGATAAAAATTGTAAAAGAAGGACCTAATTTTCTGCTAATGACATCTCTTCCAAATATCTCCTCTAATATTCTCCAATTGGAAGTGAATTTTAAATAGCACGAAGGGAAAGTTTAGATTGGTATTTTAATTGAGATTGAAAGATACTACCCCAGTATGGAGAATAAAATTATTTAAATGGGAATAACCGTTGATAATTGTGTACAAAAAAAATATATATATTACGAGTTTACTTAATGAACAAAAATCAAAAACAATCACGAGTTTACTTAATGAACAAAAATCAAACAAATAGATGTCAACCTAACAAGCTATAAGATAAAAGTTTTAGGAAAAAAAAAAAATACTAAATATAAAATGGATTGCTCTTTCAATGTTCTGTCTATGGATTTTTCCAATCGATTGTTTCATAGAAAATACCCAAAACTCCACCGAATTTCAAATTAATTTCTTCGTAGATTGTTTTAACATTTAGATAATTATCAAACCTTAACCTCCCAAATATGCACGTTAAAGTAACGCGAACTGACAGCGTCTAAGAATTTGAATGAAACCTGTCGTGTAATTTATTGGGGTTGTTGTAACTTCTTCCTTTAATGTCGTTCTTATCATTCACCCCTTAGCCATCTATATCTAGAGACGAGACGCGTTAAATTTGAGCAACATCTAGCCGACACACTGGGGTTAAAATAGGAAACTAAAATGATACATATGACACACTCATATCCTCTCTCCCACCTCACTTACTCACTTCGTTAACTTTGCGTATACTTGATGAGGTCCGTAAAAAACGTGTGAATTTCTTTTCATTTTTCATTTCAGCTTTTGGAAGTAAAGTCTGATGATCCAGAACCCTGTTAAAGGAGTTATGGTGAAATAGCTTATTACATGGAATCTTAACGTGGTCTGTCTTTTATTCAAACATATCTGCTCTGAATTTTACATTGAGCTCTCTGGATATCATCCTCCTCAGGTCTACCCATACGGATTACCTAAACTATTATATATATATATATATATATATATATATATATATATATATATATATATATATTGACACAGGTTTCATTAAAAATTATAGACAACTGTTGTCTATTTATTTTATGTAAATTTTTTTCATATCGTCTGATAAGCTTAATAATATTATCACTAAACGAAGAAAGAAAATCACAATATTGATACATATTTTTTAATCCTATCTAAGCTTTCGGCTTACATAAGCCATTATCAAAGATGACAATTACATTACAATATATTAAGCAATACACGGAGAAGTCAGTGATGATAGTCTGTTTCTATTTACATGAAGATTTCCAAGCAACGACAATGAAAAAATGCTGCCTAAACACACACACACACACACACACACACACACACACACACACACACACATATATATACATATATATATATATATATATATATATATATATATATATATATATATATGATAGTGCATGGATGGAGACGAGCCCAAATATAAGATACGTCGTATACTTTTTCCAAATCTTTACAAATATTAAGCAAAATGCTCCTTTCGCAATCCAATATAGTTATGCTAAACCATAAAGGAATTTAGAGCAACGGCTGTCATGGCTTAAAAATAAATTTTAAAAAAATAGCAATAATTATAATAATAGCAACATATTAATTCATTTTCGTTTATATAACAAGCCAGGGATTTATGTCACTTAGGGTACTCCATAGTATTCAATTCCTTTCCTTGACGTTGAATGTTTCGGAGCGTTCGCTAATTCAAATTTGAACGCATAGCGTTATTTTTCTCGGCATTACTGTACAAATACAGGTTCCAAAATGGGATTTATGGATTTGTCTTGATAAAGGCTTATAATATTGTATTTCGGCTTCGGATTTATTCCGGTATACTCACACATACACTTCGTAGATATGAATAAATTGAACAGGTTATATATATATATATATATATGGGAGAGACGGGCAGAAAGACAGAGTGTGATATGTGGGTAGAAAGATAGGGGGATAGAACGATATGTATAGAGAGAGACATAGGAAATGAGAGAGACAGACAAACAGACAGGGATAAAGAGAGCGTGGGTTTCGAATGATAGAGAGATATGAACAAATTGGTCAAGATGGATCGAATTATATCAACACAATAGATAGATAGATAGACTAAGCTGGCATTGTATAAATATAGATAGATATGATTTGATAGTAATAGAGACTTAACTGAGACAGATAATACTAGATAGATATATATATATATATATATATATATATATATAATATATATATATATATATATATATATATATATATATATATATATATATATATATATATATATATATATATATATATATATATATATATATATATATATCGCAGTGTACATTATATATCTATCTGGTATTATATATATATATATTACTATCAAATCATATATCTATATTTATACAATGCCAGCTCAGTTCATTATATTATCTATATATCTATTCATCATCTATCTATCTCCAGTTCAGTCTATCTATACAGATAGATAGATAGATAGATAGATAGATAGATAGATAGATAGATAGATAGATAGACTGACCCAGCTTTGCCTGAACAGAGATGGATGAGTAGTAATAGATTTATCTTAAATGAGATGGCTAAAACGATAGATAGATAGATAGATAGATAGATAGATAGATAGATAGATAGATAGATAGATGGCAATGATGATTATTATGGTAGCAACCTGGAGATTGGGCAAAAAGAAATTATTGGTGTGGTGGAAAGGGTTGGGGGAGGAAAGGAAAGCAATCGAAATAGCGATAGCAATGTAGATGAAACGGAAGAAACGAGGTTGAAAGAACAGAGGATAGAACTGCCGAAGGGATTTTGTTCTGAGTCTCTCAGATGTGCAGAACACAGGACAGAAGAGATGCAAAGAGACAGCAAGGGGGCGCTGCTGACAATAACGCTAGGCCAGCACAGACGCCGCCATAATAGACATGTAACATATATATATAACGGAGTGTGTATATGTGCGTCTACAGAATGCTGGTGCGTGTATATATACATATATATTGAGATAGATATATGTGTGTGTATATAAAAGAAATTATCATATATGTATGAAAACATAAATGTCCACATATATATATATGTGTATTTTCAATAGTGTATATACATATATATATATATGTGTGTGTGTGTGCGTGTATGTATACTTTCTGATATACGAATATGAATATGAATAGTTGAATATAGATACTACATTTATTTATTGAGCAAATTCATACATATATTCGTATATATAGATATAGATAGATAAATAGATATATGCATATTTATAAACATATATTTATATATATATATATATATATATATATATATATATAAATAATGTGACCTGAAACCCTGAATTTTATTATATATTTAATAATGTACGCTTTCGCAATTCTTTTTGAGATTTATAAATATATATTTATGCATGTATGTATGGATATATATATATGTGTGTGTGTGTGTGTGTGTGTGTGTGTGTGTGTGTGTGTGTGTGTGTGTGTGTGTATGTATGTGAGTGTGTGTGTGTGTATACATATATATAAATTGTGGTAAATTATATAAATACATCTATACATATATACATGCATATATATATATGTGTGTGTGTTTGTATGTGTGCGTGCGCGCGCGTGTGTGTGTAGATAGATAGATACATAGATAGACAGAGCTTTGTTAACATTTTATACCCAATAATGTATGTTCAATGAATTGGTTTATACATATAAACATTCTAAAATACACATTGTTTTATAAGTGTGCTTATTGTCAGTTCAGGTGAAGTATACACTGCACACCCACCCTCACATACCCGCATACACACACACACACACACACACATATATATATATATATATATATATATATATATATATATGCATGTGTGCCTGTGTGTATAAACCAGAGTTCTTTAGTATTCCCTTTTTTTATTTTTAAAAAACAGTGCTCGATACAAAGTAGAGTATAATATAATAATTTTAAAAAAATATGTCTCCATCACGACACAGAAATGACTATTTCAAAACGGAAATTTAGGTCCTAAAAATTAACTTAAAATTCGTTGTTCGGTTTCATTTTCAAGCGATGTTAAGAATAACTTACGAAAAAATTGATTTACTCTATAAGTTGGTGTTAAGAGAATTGCCATTTTTTATTCAGGGGTTATTATCTGTTTTTCGAATGAAGGAAGCGATTGTATCTTTGTGTGGCAAAATTTAAAGTCCATTAAGTCTGGGCGGGGCTTTAAGATTTCTGTCTGGCTTCACTGCCATTATTTCAAGCTGTCAAGTTATTAATGTCTAGCTTATTTTATCCTATTTAAGGTTTACGTTACAATATATTTGGCATTTTTATTATTTTTATTTTTTCAAACTCCATCGAGATTTTCTTAAAGGGGTATTCAAATATAATTAAGTAATATTATTTAATATAAAATCCTATATTTATTTTAGTAATAGACTATATATGTTAATGTAAAATTAATATATATAAGAATTTAATTACGCATTTATAAATTACTAGCAGTAGAGCCCGGCGTTGCCCGGGGATGTAACAGTAAGAGATAGATCAAGTATCGACCATTATAAAGACTGAATAATAAAATTGACAAAGATTATTGTTTAAGGTTGACGGACAAGCATGTCTCAATTACTTTTTTGTTTTTGTTTTGTTTTTGTTTTGTTTTTTTAAGAATTTGTCAAACCCAAACTCAAACAAAAACATTGTTTTCAATCGTTATGAGTCTATCGATTGAATAGAATTTTATTATAAACAATTGTCTTGTAAATGGAATTTTTAAAGAATTCTGAATGTAAAAATAAAGAAAAAAAGTGTGCAAGACAATAAGAAACACTACCTGCCAAAAACAAAAGTGAAGTTTTGTTGAAATCGGTTGAAAAATGTAGGAAATCTGGTCCCATATATAAACGAACACACACACACAAACAACCTGGGTTTATAATAAGTATAACTCGATATGAGTTGTCCCCCTTTCATTCTGGCGGCAGAATCGTGTTTTATCGTGCTTTCAAATTGATTTCGTGCAAAAACAATTGTGTTTTTCCAAATTTTGGCACTGTCAGAACCACCGCAAGATAATTTTACGTAGTCTTGTGAAGTTTTGTTGAAATCGGTTGAAAAATGTAGGAAATCCGATCCAATATATAAACGTACAGACACACACACACACACACACACACACACACAATCTGCGTTTTATAATAAGTAAGATGTAATTAATTCATGATCAAATAATAGATATAAATATGTGAATTATTTTTTAGATTTTATAAATTATTTTTTATAATTATTTTTAAGGAATATATAAGACAATGTCTACAGAAAATTGCTATTTCATTTCTTTGATTTAATAAATATTTATTTTTCGGAAACTTAATAATATATTACTTTTCATGTATACTTAAAGGGCATGGGTCATCCAAAGATCTACAATTTCCTCTTTTTTTATTAGTTTCCATTTTACTGTTGGTGTTTTATTTGTTTCTCTTAATTGCCAAAAAATATTTTGATAGGGATGTTTGGTTACGATACTTAATATTATTGAAAGAAGTCAGGCACTGTCTCCATCAAAGTTTAAATTCATTCTTTCTAGTTCCTACGTAGAATTTCTCAATATTAAGATTCTCAGTGGATAAGATAGTACATTGGTAAACTATGTATTCTATGTGGCATTCAAAGGACAATTTTCAGAATTTCTACAATTATATAATTTTTCTTTACTATTGTTTATTCTTATTTCAGGATCTCTATTTCTTTGATTCTGGTATAAGTATTTATTCAAGATTTATTATTATGTTTTTATAATTCTTTGTAAATTTTCGGTACAGCTGTAACTTAATTTTAGGGTATTTTTATTAAAAATTGTCCTAACTTAAGCATTTGGTTGAAAGTTTACCAAATGATTTTTCTATTCCTATTTTTTTTTTCCTCTGGTTTTTATTTTCATTTTTTATATAATTAATGTTATATTCTTTGTGGCTGAATTCTGACTTAGCTAATAAGACGCTTCTTTGTGACTGAATGGTTAACAGTTCATCAGAACAAATGATCGTTCCTATTGGGGTTACAGGTTCGATACCTGGCGGAGTAGCACATATGTTCTACGAAATTTCTCGAACATTCAGACCGGTAAATATAATTAATATGGTTTGTTTTAAAAAACAAAGTATTTACCTAAATAAATTGTATCTATTAAAATAACATATAAACTTAAAATATATTAAAGTATTGGACTTAATCCTATTCCACACACACACACACACATATATATATATATATATATATATATATATATATATATATATATATATATATAGTCATCCACAAATAGGCTGTTTCGCTGTATCACAACTCATCAGTGTAGCTGGATATCCGATTGCTTCAAGCCGGGATCTAAACCCGACCGATTTGGCATCAGTCAGTAATTGTACCCCCAAGTTATCATCGCACAGCATAGAGTAAGGGAAATTTTAACGTTTTTCATATGCAAAAGATGTCAGTAGCTAGGAGAGCTCGATTTTAGTTGAAATTGAAGTTGAAGCAGCCATAGGTTATAAAATTACCCCTCCCTCCCCGAGAGCTCAATCGAATGATTTCGAGGGCGTAAAGAGTCATCCACAGACAGACTGTTTGGCTGTATCACAGCTCATCAGTGTGACTAGGCATCCGATTGTTTCAACCCGGGATCGTATCGTAACCCGGCCGATTTGGCATCAGTCAGGGATTCTAGTCCCAAGGTATGGTCACAAGGCAGGTAGTAAATTTAACGTTTTTACTATACGAAACACGTCAGTGGCTTGGGGAGCTCGATTCTAGTTTAAGAGCATTATATATATATATATATATATATATAAGTGAACATTGAAGTCAACACTTAGAGGCGACAGGCTGTTTCATGCTAGACGCAATCGTCAGGCCACCGATTGCGTATAGCATGAAACAGCCTGTCGCCCTAAGTGTTGACTTCAATGTTTACTTTTATAATTACACACGCTCTATCTCTGATATTGAGCAGTTTATCCCATAAATATAGCACACCTTAAGAGTATATTTCTTCATATATATATATATATATATGTGTGTGTGTGTGTGTGTGTGTGTGTGTGTGTCTGTTCTGTGTGTGTGTGTAAGCAAATATATGGATATAGATCCGACAGTATGAAGAAAAATATACGGAAAAAACAAACAAATATCTTAATATTAACATTAAAACAGCATAATTGCATATTAGGATTTTTGTTTGTTTTTTTCCGTATATTTTTCTTCATATATATATATATATATATATGTGTGTGTGTGTGTGTGTGTGTGTGTGTGTGTGATTGGTGTGGGTGTGGTTGCGTGATTGTATGTAAAGTTTTCCATAATCTAATGAAAATAATTACGAACCCTAACTCGCTTTGCCATTTAGTTACTCTAAGACTGTATATTAGTCAACAGAAAGGCTGTATTAATCTGCCAATCACAACAGAATTGATCACGCAATCAATGATTTTACCTATTTATCATATATTTATGCTATGATTTCTCTATTTCTCTTTATAAATATGAGGATATGTGGGTGTATGTGTCTCTGTATGGACACATAGTCACGTATTTGCTTATGTGCGCGCGTGTGTGTGTGTATAAGAGAGGGAAATAACGAGTGAGAGAGATAGAATGAATGCTTGCGTGATTTCGTGACATCGTATCAGCATTTTATATATCATCGGCGTAAACCAATGGCGGATGTTGCCACAACTCTCCAATGTATTGTCTTCCCCCAAGTGCAGCAATTCCCCAGACTTCCGCAAATCAAATGGTTGGAAAATCGGCAAAAGAAAGAATAAAAGGCATTAATACATTGGAAGAAGGGAGCATCCAATTTCTCTCAACCTCAGCTCAAATGCGCATGCGTTGTTCTCAGTGAACTTTCGCGCGTGTAGAGCCGTATTCTATATTTGTATCGATCTATGACGGAATCAGTACGATACATACGTATATACGTGAACACTAATGTTATGATGTTTTGTAAAATAATTTATTTCCTGTATGATAATTCGCTGAACTTTTGTTAAAAAATAAAGAAGAAGGGTTTAATTCAGGTTATTTTTTTTAAAATGCCACCCCAACACGAAATCTCTAAAATCGTATATAAGTATAGTAGTACGATGACATTGTGGAATCTTCTAGAAATTTCTGGAAACTTTTAGAGCTTTACGGAACATTCTAGAACTTGTTTTTGTTATTTTTATGTTTGTATGTCAGGATATAGCTATAAACTGTTAAATGCGTTTAAAAGTACATAAGTACTATCCAATTAAATCATTAGCAAATTGGAGATTTTTCACGTCAGTTTATTGAAAGTTTCGTTGGATATTCTGTGAAGTAAGTGTCATTTTGTTTGCCATTTTCCTTTGTGTCCATTGTTATATTTTTTGTCTAAATTCCGCGTTTAGTTTACCTTTTTTGAATTGTGTGTGGTGACGAGAAAACGCCAACATCATGGCGGAGCCGGAATCTCCCACTGTAACGATCCCTTCGGCATGGGCAATGGATAGGCCCCCCAAAAAAGTGCCACAGTATTACAAAAAAAACTCAAGGACAAATTTGAATCATTTGTTAGATGAGTTGCTACTAGTGCCGGCTCTGTTGGATACAGTAAACATTCGTACTATTTCTTTATTAACAACGGACCCAAAAACTCGGAAAATAATTACAGTGGATAGAGCCGTTATAGAAAAGGCCTTGAAAAGCCTTCAAATATCGGCGAAAATCTTGACAAGAAGGAGTAAGGCGATGTGGGACATTCTGCTAGCTACATAAGATGCAACTAAAGCGCTGGCAGGCTGTGTTCTGACTACTAATTCAGTCGGACTACACACCGGATACTTGGGAACAAGAAAAGCGAAGGTGACTCTACATAGAGTCCCCCTATTCATATGCGAAGATCATCTAGGCTTTGTCTTTTCGCAGTTTGGGAACGTCTCGCCCATTAAAAGTAAGACAGGAATAGCCACGCGCGGTTTTTGAAATTGCAAGTACACTAAAGGGGAAAATTGAATGCCTTTGGCTAGATGCGAAAGTATTTCGTCAGTATTCTCATGATTTAGTGGCCGACTTGATAAAATTTCTTGGAATTGTTTTCGCCACCATTCTTTCTCCAGTTGTTCTTAATTTTTATTGAAAGCATGCCTCCCAAGCCCACTATTTGGTGAGGGCGGTGGATTGGCCGCTCCCCCCGCCCCACCGGGTCGATGCTTGGACTTAAGGTAAGCTGTACATTCACTTGTTATCATGAGGAAGAAAGCGGACAAACACTCGCTGCCCTGTGTGAGTATAATTTCGCTCTACCGAAAACTCATTTTAATCTTTTTTTCGATTTTCTTTAATTCTTTATTCTTCTATTTTTTTCTCCCCATACTCGTCAGTGTGTTTGCCCATAGTTACACATTTTGTCCTAATCATTCTAACCGATCTGATGGTCCCGTTTCGAAAGAAAAATCAGAAAAAATGGAAAATTGAATGTCTTTGGCTCGATGCGAATGTGTCTCGTCAGTATTCTCATGATTTAGTGGCCGACTATTCTTGCTTGATAAAATTTCTGAACTTGGGGGAGATCACCGGCCAATCCACCGCCCTCACCAAATAGTGGGCTTGGGAGGCATTCTTTCAATAAAAATTAAGAACAACAGGAGAAAGAATGGTGGCGAAAACAATTCAGAAATTTTATCAAGCAAGAATAGTCGGCCACTAAATCATGAGAATACTGACGAGACACTTTCGAATCTAGCCAAAGATATTCAATTTTCCCCTTTTTCTGATTTTTCTTTCGAAACGGGACCATCAGATAGGTTAGAATGATTAGGACAAAATGTGTAACTATGAGCAAACACAGTGGCTTTCCGCCTTGCTTGGGGTGAAACGTTTAAAAAAAAAAATTAGAAAACGAGCATCTCGAAGTTGTGTAATGGTTAGCAAGCTTGTCTCGCTAGAACAATTACGTCTGGGTAGTGAGTTCGATCATCACTGGGTGCTCCATACTTTCGGCCCTGTGCCACATCTAAGCTACGCTTGGAAAATAACTACATTAATTAGAAAGCAGTTTATGGAAATACCTAACACATTAATATGTGAAGGAGTCTAATTTAGATCGTTGTTGAGGCCGTTGACCACTTTGTTGTGGGCCGCGGGGCATTTGTCGAAAGCTTGTCCGGGACAAAATCCAGAACCACGACCCAAAAAGAACAGTGAGGAAAAATCGACAACAGCACAGACAATAACAAAAGCTTTAAAGAAAACCGGAGAGTGGACGGAGATAGTGAAGGACCATCACTTCCCTTTTAACAGCAGCAAAATGAGAAACCCCAACTTGAGCAGGAGGACCAGCAAGGGGACCAAAATAGAGTAGAGGAGTAAATGGAGGAGATGCTCCCATCTCTGTTTTCATCACTGAAAAGGGGGGGGGAAGTGGAAGAAAAAAGAGGAAAAAAATCACTAAAAAGGATAAGGTACCTGGCAAAAAGTAGGCGTCGAAGAAGCAAAGAAAGAAGCAGTCAAAAACCAAGGCTCAATCGGTGCCAGCCTTCGCCAGTCAGGAAACAAGAGAAAATTACCCCCAAAGAGCCTCTCTTCTTCCCCCTCTGAATGAATCAATACCCCTTCTACCATTACAGCCGACGATATTTCCACTCCTTCCAACATCTCCCTTTCCACCAGCACAACGCACAGCGACTCCCAGCAGAGCTCTTTTCGTAAGAAGAATTTCCCAGGGGGAGTAAGATCGTGTCAAAAAGACAAGCGGGCAATAGAATGGGACATTTCAACAAAATAGAGTGCTGTTAAAACCCTTACTCAAAACATCGTCAGTAGACGTGCGCTCTATAGAAGACCTCCGAAATTTCCCCAGGGCTGCTGGGGTAATAACTTGGGTAACTTGAACCGAAACCTTACAGTGTGGGATCATCTACACGAGGCAAACGATGCCTTTCCGGAGATCCGTATGGTGGAAATGGGAACCCCGGACCTGAAAAAAGCTTAAAAAATATTATGCGGGGAGAGCCCTAGTAATCCACTATCCTTCATTATATAGGTCCTTAAAAATGACTTATTCCTCCGACGTCGGCGGCATTATCCTGGATGTTCGCGCAACGACAGAGATGGGGACAAGCAACCTGGGACAATCCGTCGGGGTCCTTTCATCCTCAGATTTCCGTCCAATCTGTTAGTAGGGGAATCAACTTGAAAAATGTCTCTCAAGATAGCTAGTTTGAATGCAAGGGGCTTGAGGGATTGGACTAAGGCCGCCCACCTGCTTCGTGATCTCCTGTCCTTCGACGTAGATGTAGCTGTGATCCAGGAAACACTCTTTGCGAGGTTGATGCTTGTATGCTGTCTAGCGACTATGTTGTCTATCCAGCATACGTGGACCAACCGGCTATAGACGTTTCCTTCCTGGCTAAACTTACCCTAGGAAGGTGGATCTTGTTCATGTCGATTTGGGGAGCGGGGGAGTTGATCGTGGCCGATATTGTAGTTCGTTTCGGGTCGTTGCGGTTTATGCGCCAAAGATCAAGGCGGGCTTGTCTCGTTTTTCCGGTAGTTGGGGCTGTTCCTGGTTGATTCTTCGCGCTTAGTCTTAGTGGGGGACTGGAATGCAATCCTGGACCCCAATATAGACATGGCGAGGGGAGCTAGCCTGGTTGATCTGATCGCTGAGTTTGGTCTCCCTGGACGGGACATGTGGACGCGGACTCGTAAGTGACCGTCTACCCTGGTAGCCATCTACCTGAACAGAATGCCAGTGAGAAGGGACGATATAAACTTACTAGATTGTCCCACGTCCCACTGGTTAGGCTATTCGGACCATAGACACGTCTGTGCCCGGATAGCGCTAGATGCTAGGCCGAGAATGGCTGGATACTGGAAGTTCAATCTGTTTTTACTAGATAGGCGGGATTTCTTGCAACAGCTAATTAGACGAGTGCAGGGGGAACTAGTGGGGCGGTTATTGGAAATAAGTGATGGGAGAGGCTTAAGGATAGGATTAGGTCCTTCCCTACCGAATATAGCCAGTGGCTCGCACTAAATAAAGCTAAAAAGGTGAAGAGAGTCTATCCCGAGTTAGAGAAAGGTTTAGCAGGCAGGCTCTGGAGCGTGCGGTTAGCGAGCGCTACCAAGGTCAAGTAGTTAGACATAGGTTAAACAAGATGTCTAACGAAGCCATAAACATGGACGCACAATTGCGCAAGGAAGAGATCCGTCGAGGTTCCGATCGTTACATACGTGAAGTTAAAACCCAGAATGGCCTACTCTGAAATCGACTAACGACATGTGCAAGACATTTCGGTGGCATTTCGAGAGCCGGTTTACTAAGTGACGATGAGTTTCGCAGCTCTTTGACTGACTTTCTTCGGCTTTCGCCGACTGAACCAACTAGCTGCGTGGGTGAGATCACGGAGGGTGAAGTCTACCTGGCAGTGAAGAGTGTCAGCAGTGGCAAGTCTACCCTATGAATTGTACTTGCGGCTGTCGCACATCTTTTTGCAGATTTTGATTGTCCTGTTCAACAACTGATTACGGGAGGGTCCCATCACCAATCGGATCACCAGGGTTTTGATCACCCTGTTGAAAAAGGACAAGAGTGGTGGGCGGGATTTAGATGATTACAGGACCATAACTATGCTAAACACAGTTAAAGATTTGGGCCAAGATCTTGATGGAGCATTTGCAGTCATTTAACAAGAGTCTGTTGGGACCCGATCAGACTGTGAAGGTTCGAACAATTCAGAGCAGCCTGATTCTAGAGATTTTAAAAGACAACGAGCAAGTCGCGTTAATCAATTTGGATCAGTCCAAGGCATTTGAGTGGGTTGATCATCGGTATCTGGCTGATGTCCTGCAGCCCGCCGGATCCAAACCCAACTTCTGCAGGTGGATTAGCCTCCTGTATTGCTCCCACAGTACTGTGGTACAGGTGAAAGCGGTCGCGTGCTTTTGTGCTGTCTCAGTCGGTTCGTCAGTGTTGCCCACTCTCGCCCATACTTTACGCTTTTGCGCTGGAGCCTCTCCTTCGCCGGCTAAGTGACGGGGCGATCAGCCCGGCCCCATGTGGTATCGCTGTCCCTGGTGTGGCTCGAGCCAGGTTTCCGTGTACACCGAACATCTATGCATTTTCGTTTCGTGCCGCAGCGACATTGAGGTGGTACAGAACGGTACGAAATGGTTACAGGGGCCAAGATTAACCGTAACAAGTTTTCCAGCTTGCGGTTAGGTACCTGGAAGGGGGCCTCTCTTCAAGGTCCCTTTGTTTGGACGGACGGTTCTGTCCGCATTCTTCGAGTGTGGTTTGGACCGGACCTCCAGCTGGAGAAAAATTGGTCAGAAGTACAGACAAACGTCGTAGCGTCCGTCCCAACTTGGCTCCGAAGGAGGTTGTCCTTGAAGGGTAGAGCTGAGGCTTGTGTCACTTACGACTTTCCTCTCATCCTTTACCGGTTGGCTGTACTTCCTCTTTGGAAGGGCCATAGGAAGGCGATCGAGCACTTGTTGTCAACCATCTTGTGGGGTGAGCGCAAGCAAAAAGTCTGTAATGAAGCCTGTGTCCAACGTCTGTGTCAGGGTGGGTGGCTAGGATTGCCACACTTGGTGAGTCATCGACACACCTCGAGGATGACTTTCCTACGCCGCGTTTTGACAAAAGATTCGATTTTGGTGGGAGTGTCAGGAACGCCTTCCCTAGCCTTACTCTCGCTCCTTCCATTTCCTGGGCTAAGTGCCGTCGTAGGTCCGGGAAATTGTCGACTTTTCTCTACGAGTGTCGATCGTCTTTGAGGGCCTTTCCTCGGTCTAGTGACCTTTTACGGCCTCGAAACGTCTTGTATCGTGAATCAGTGGAAGGGGTCGCGAAGGACCGTCTCTGTGAGCGGTTTGGCATGTTACGCTCTTTCTGGTCTTGGGCGCCAGCGGTGAATTAGGTCAGCAACCCTAAGTTTTCGCTTAACTGGCGATTGATTTGAAACGTATATGTCTCAATAACATGGCCTTCAGATGGGGATGGGTGGATTTGCCCGACTGTTACCGGTGTGGCCATGGCTTAGAAGTAAGGGATTTGCACGCCTTCTACCATCGTCCTCAGATACGCCTTTTCTGGGGGGTTATGTCGGCGAGTTGACGGTTCGTATTGCTCGAGATCAGCTTGTGCTCACTAATGTCGCATACGCGTGCGACAATGTGTTGCCTCCGTATTCTGTAGGAGAAACGAATGGCTAGAATGGTAATCCGGATGACGCGAAAGGTGGGAATCTTGCAACACGAAGCCCATTCTCATCGGATTCTTTGAGCATCAGCTGAAAGTGAAGATCAGAATTGATAGAAAGCGTTTGGTGTCGACAGATTCCAACGAATCGTAGGTGAAAGTAGCGAGTTTTGTTCGTGTGAAAGGAGTTATCCTTGAGTTACGTTTTTAATTCCTCTTCATCTGAACGGGGCGGTTTACTGTGAACCCTCCCCTGGTTAAGTTAGACTCTCTTTTGTGTACCGAGTTAATTTGAGTGAGTGTTGTTCCTGGCCTGTTCCAGGCTTCTTCTTTTAGTTAAGATCCAAGTTGAGATTCCCACCCACCCCTAGTTTGTTTTTGGTCTCCCTTTTTCATTTCGATTGGTTCAGTCTTTGATTTCCCAACGCCCACATTTATTTTATCCTCCCCATTCCGTTAGAGAGTTAGCTTCTTGATTCTGTCTGATGACAGAATACAGCGGCAACTCTTATTTTTGTGGGATGGACGGGTTCTACAAACATCTGTTATTTTTTTTTACATTTGGTATATTTTCTTTATAATTGGGATTAAGACCCTACCCCTCATTCAATATCTTCTTCAGATATATATATATATATATATATATATATATATATATATATATAATGTTCGTCTTCTGACAGGAATCGAACCTGTATCCTATACAGAACCGTCATATAGCCTGACGTGCTTTTACCGATTTCGCCACAAAGGATCGATCGGTTGAAAATCGATCGATCGATGAAAATTTCTCGGACATTCAGTCCGGTAAATGTTATTTAATACTATTTATTATAAACAGAGCATTTACCTAAATGTTTGTATCTATAAAAAGAATGTTAAACATAAAAATATCTTAAAATAATTCTCGGACATTGTTCATTTTTTATATATATATATATATATATATATATATATATATATATATATATATATATATATATATAATTAAAAGAAAAACAGACCACTTTAAGGTACCATTATAATAATTTATTTCACCAGAGCCCTTTTAAAGGACGCCGGGTCATTAGATAGCACTTCAAAAAATGAAATGAAACGAAAAATAAAATTAAAATTGATGGGTAGAGTAAGTTTTTGTAATTTAACAGAGAGTGTAAAAGGGATAGTTAAAGAGACATGGTAGAGTATAGGGAGGGATTAATTTCATATCTCTCTCACGCATACTTTGTATTGGGGGAGGAGGAGTGACCAGACCTTGACCTATTTAGACGGTTAACTTAACGGAAGTGATATATTGAAATGGAAGGGAGTAGGGTGAAAAAGGATTACCCATACGGTTTACCAAGTTCTTCATAATTTCACTATATATATATATATATATATATATATATATATATATATATATTACGAACAT